ATTCACTATGTGATGGTGGGAGCATTGTGATTGAATCACTTAAATCTTGTCTCAGCTACTGCCTGAATGATCATCCGATTGAAGGCAGTTTTACTAGTGAGTTTCTTCTTTAAACAATAGTAAATGAGTAGCAACACCAAGAATACTATTAATAATAGCAACACAGTACTAATTAAGGACCTTATCCAGGAACTCAGGTTCCATCCCAATCCACTGAATATTTTGTCAAGCCCATTCTCTTGCATGTCCATCTTGAATTTCTTGGGTGTCCTTTTCTATTTGCTCTAATAAATCTATATAATGTTCAATATCGAGTAACATTTGGGATATGTATACAGCAATGATCTATCCTATCCTTCAGATACATGCAAACCTCGTGTTGTTTTAATAAGAGAATATCCAAAGTCATTCTGTTTTGCAAAGTAATTCTTGAGATTGCTTGTAACTGTAAATTTAATTGTTTAAATCCTTTCCTTGTTACACCAGCTAATTTTTCTGCTTGACCAGTTAATTTATACAGCTAGGCCCTATTCCTATAGGTTGATAAGGGAGTCAATAAAGACTTCAAGGCCCATCCAACTTTTACTCCTGTTGGTGATGTAGAATGGAATGAACCTTCAATTTGTGATCTTTCTTTCCATATTAATTTTAAATTTTCGGAATCCCCTTCCAAGGCAGCCTCCTTCCAAATTGGACATAATGTCGGTTTGCATTCCTAAAGTATTTTTTTTCACTTACCCATCCACTGGTAAATGGGTGGACCAGGTTCCATCACTCATCGCCCAAACTAAGTGTCCTGGACTCTGAATTGTAGATGTTCTGCAACTAAATATTGTTCCTCTCTTGGGCTTATATGTATCAGTCAATTGTAAATAATTAAGTCTTCTACACCAACATTCATATTTCAATGCAGCTGCCAGAGGTGGAGCATCTTGTACTGCTTTTCTAACTGTGCTACAATTATATATCTTTTTACAATTCCACCAAGATACAATAATTTCTTTTTCCCCAATATGTACTTCCCTTGTCATTGACTGGGAAAGCTGCAAAAATCATTCCATCCCAAATAAAACACCAGGAGGCATTGGTCATGTACTGAAATTGAGATAAGATGGTCATCGATCATAATCCCACAAAACAATCTCTTGTTTAGTTTGATTAGTCTTCCTACATCTCCATTCCATGATCATTCGACTGACATTCTTCCTAATGGGTTCATTATAAGAGCACCAACCTACATTATGAAACCTACCTATCTTGATGAAGACATAGTTTAATAGTTTTTTGCAATTTGTTCTACTCCCAGGGGTTTTCCATTGCTTTTTAACATATTTTATCTGTTCTTGTTATCCAACAATGGGGACTTGGTCACAGTAAGTGCTGTCATTGGATTTTTCATTACTCAAGTTTGTTGTCTAAATTCCCTGTGGAATTGATTCACTCACTGCTCTTGGGATTGGGAGACATGCAGTTTTTTGGGTTACATTATGTAAGTTAGCAAACTCTTATCAGTCCAACCATTAAATTTTCTTCTGGAGTTCTTGGGATGTGTATCGCCTATTCCGCTTCTATTGACAGTGGATCCCTGCTCTCTGCCCTCACTCCTAATCTATCTGCCTTCACTTTGAACAATGCTCCCATCATCATCAGTCTCCCAATCAAAATCCATTTTCCCCTTATTTTACAATGATATCCCCCCCTTTTAGACATATTTTGAAGTCAACTTTGCAGTCTCTGGATCCTTATTGATGATTTTCCATGAAGGGGCCTTCTTCACTCGAGTGTAGTGTATCCATGGTTCCACTCCTTCCACTTTGACTGCAGTGTAACTCGTTAACAATACCTGGAAGTGTCCCTTCCACTTCTCCTGCAGTGGTTCAGAGTTCCAAGTCTTTATGTACACGAGATCACCTGGCTGATACTGATGTGCAGGCGTATCCAAGGCAAGTGATCCAGTCAGCACAATGTATCGTTGGAGTGCTTCAAGGGCTTTTCCTAGAGAAATCAAATACACTTTCAAATCTGTTTCCCCTGCTACCCTCATGTCCCCTGGGATTAGAGGAGTTTGGTAAGGTTTGCCATACAAGATTTTGTAGGGACTTATACCATCTTTAGATCTTGGTTGGATTCTAATTCTCAGGAGAGGTAATGGTAAGGCTTGCAGCCATTTTAAAGATACTTCTTGACAGATTTTACTTATTTGTCTTTTCAGCGTTTGGTTCATCCTCTCTATTTTCCCACTTGATTGTGGTCTCCAGGGGGTATGTAGGTCCCATTTTATACCCAAAATATTACTAATTTGTTGAATGAACTACATCTGCCACAAAATGTGGTCCTCTTGCAGAGGACATTCCTATTGACACCCCAAATCTTGGTATTATTTCCTTCAACAATATTTTAACTACTTCTCTAGCTTTGTTGGTGTGGCAAGGGAAAGCCTCTGGCCGTCCAGAAAATGTACCGATCAACACTACCAAATACCTATATCCATTTTGTCTGGGGAACTCAGAAAAATCAATTTGCTAATAATCTCCAGGAAAATTTCCCTGTCTTGTTACCCCTACAGGTGGTTTCTTTTGGTTCAGGGGATTATTTTTAAGACAGATTGGACACTTAGCTACTATTGATTTAACTATTCCTGTCATCCCTACACACACTACAGATGTTTTCAAACTTGAAACCATAGCATCTACACTCCAATGTGTTTGCTCATGCTTTTCTTTTGCAAGTTCTAACATAACTTGCAGGGTTACTATTATCTGTTTTTCTGGCGTTACCCACCATCCTTCTGTATTTTGTGATGCTTTCAATTGTTCTGCTAATTGCTTATCCAATTTATTATATTTTGGTTTAAATTTTGGAATTTTTGTCTGGTTTATTGGTACTAGTGCAAGGATACCTCGTTCTGCAGCCTCTTTTGCAGTGTTATCTGCCAATCGATTACCTATATTTATAGCCGTCTGACTGAATTGATGAGCTTTGCAATGCATTACTGCCACTTCTTTTGGTTTCTGAACATCTTCTAGAAGTTGGAGAATTTCTTCTTTATGCTTTATCAATGATCCTTGGGCTGATAGCAGTCCTCTTTCTTTCCAAATAGCTCCATGAGCATGGATCACATCACATGCATATTTGGAATCGGTCCAAATATTTACCCTTCGTCCTTCTGCCATTCGCAGAGTCTCCTTTAATGCCACCAATTCTGCTTTCTGTGCTGAGGTATTTGCAGGCAGGGTCCCTGACTCCAGTACCTTGGTGGTGGTGATGGCAGCATATCTGGCCATTCAACTTCCCTCCTTGCACAAAGCTGCTCCCATCTGTAAATAATTCCAGATCAGGATTTTCCAGAGGTTCATCTCCCAGGCCCGGTCTTCTGGAATAGATTTGTTCAATAGTTAACAGGCAGTCATATTCTAAGTTTCCCATCGGATTTTCTGTCGACAAGAACATTGCTGGATTAACAATTGCTGTGGTTTTTAATTCCACATCATCTTGTTCCAATAAGACAACCTGATATGTCAGCATTCTGCTGGGGGACAGCCAATGACCCCCCTTTTGCTCTAAAATGGTTATTACTATGTGTGGTACATATACCACCATCTTTTGACCCATGGTCAATTTTCGAGCTTCTTGGATCAGCAATACCGCTGCTGCCACAGCACGCAAACATCCCGGCCATCCTTTGCTCACATTATCAAGTTGTTTGGAAAAGTATCCCACCGGCTGCTTCCAGGATCCCAGCCATTGTGCCAGTACTACAAGGGCCAGATGTTGCCTTTCATGTACAAACAGCTCAAAAGGTTTGGTCAGATCAGGCAAACCCAATGCAGGGGCCATCATTAATGCCCTTTTAAGTCCTTTGAATGATTTCTGACATTCAGGTGTCCAAGTCAAATACCGATCTTCAGATTCTTTTAAAGCTTCATATAGTGGCTTCACATACAGCCCATAGTTCAGAATCCAGAGTCGACCCCCTCCCCATAGTTCAGAATCCAGAGTCGACACCATCCAGTCATCCCCAGAAAAGCTCTCAGTTCCTTTGGGCTGCTAGGTTTGGGAATTTGACAAATGGCTTCTTTTCTTTCGTTTCATAGTTGTCTTTGTCCTTGAGATATCTCAAATCCCAAATAAATCACTGCTGCTTTTCCTATCTGGGCTTTGCTTCTGGAAACTCTGTATCCTCCTTGGCCCAGAAAATTTAATAAACTGATAGTAATTTCAAAACATTTTTCTTTACTTTCTGCTGCTATCAGAATGTCGTCCACATACTGTAACAACATGCCTTTCTCTTGGTTCTTTTTTTTCCGTATCTCTAACTCTTTTGCCAACTGATTCCTAAATATCGTAGGGCTATTTTTAAGTCCTTGTGGAAGTACAGTCCATGTTAGTTGTGTCTTTCGTCCTGTGGCAGGGCTTTTCCATTCAAAAGCAAATATGCTTTGGCTCTTTATATCCAGAGGTATGCAAAAGAAGGCATCCTTTAAATCTAGTACAGTAAACCATTTGTGTTCCTCCTTTAAAGAGGTCAGTAAAGTGTATGGATTAGTCACTACTGGGTGTATATCTTGGACTATCTGATTTATAGCCCTTAAATCCTGAACTAGTCGATATTCCTTGCCTCCGGATTTCCTTACTGGCAATATATAGGAGTATTATATTCTGATGCACATTCTACCAAAAGTCCATATTCTAAAAATTTTGTAATTAACCCCTCTAATCCTTTTCGAGCCTCCCACATAATAAGATACTGTTTTTGTCTTACCCGGCTTGGCTTCAGGTTTTAAAGTCACTTTTACCGGTTCTGCCAATTTAGATCATCCCAGAACTCCGCTCGCCCAAACCAAAGGAATTACTGCATTTTCCACTTCTTTTGAAATCTGTTCTTCCCTGGAGGAATCCTGTAACATAAACACTCTTGCCTCTATGGCTTTTGATTCTGGTATTAGTAACTTAATCTCTCCATCTTTAAAAGTTATTTGTGCATCTAATTTGCTTAATAGATCTCATCCTAACAAAGGCAGTGGACATTCAGGCATATACAGAAACTGGTGAGTTACCCACTGTTTTCCCAATTTAAACTTCAACGGCTTTAAGAAAGGTGAATTTTCTTTTTGCCCTGTCACACCAACACAACATCTACTGATTTATGACTAAATTTCCCTTTACATGTGTTCAATACCGAATAAGCAGCCCCAGTATCTACTAAAAATTCTATTTCTTCGTTCCCTAGCTTGAATGTAACCAGGGGTTCAGCTAGGGTTGATTCCCCTGGTCGTCTTCATGATTCTTCATCCAGGGTCATTAATTTGATTGCCAGGAGAGTTTCTCCAGCTTTGGGGCATTCCCTTTTCCAATGCCCACGTTCCTTACAAATAGCACACTGATCTTCTGCCAGTCGGAAATTTACCTTCCCCCTTTCTCTAATATTCATTCCCTGTCCTCTTCCTCTACCTCTTCTATTATTCTCTGTTAAAACCTTCAGTAATTTTCCATCCCTCCGTGCTTGTCTCACTTCCTTTTTTTTTTCTCTCTTATAATATACAGTCCAAGCTACTTCAAGCATCTTACCCAAATCTCTAGATTCAGGTCCTTCCAGTTTCTGGAGTTGCTTTCTAATATCTGGGGCCAATTGAGCCATGAATACAGAAGCCAATTGTATCTCTTCTTCTGGTTTTTCTGGATCCAAATTAGTATATTTTCTAGCAGTCACCCTCAGCCTTTCCATAAAGGCTGAAGGGGACTCATTTAATTCTTGTCTCACTTCATAAACTTTTGACCAATTTATTGCTTTTGGCATTGCATGTCTAACACCAAATAAAATCCACCTCTGATATCTAGTCAACATTTCCCTGGGTCCTGGTTGATTAGGGTCCCACTCGGGATTTGCAGATGGAAAATTCTGGTCCACTGTCCCCTGTAAATCCCCATTATCATGTGCTCCCTTCACCTGTCTTCTGGCAGTTTTCAATACCATTTTCTTTTCAGTATCATCAAGGAAAATATCCAATATTACTTGTAAATCATTCCAATCAGGATCTTGAGTTCTAATTATTGTTTCAATTACTTCGGCTACTTTTTCGGGATTCTCCTGATAGGTACCTGCAGTCTCTTTCCATAGTCTTAAATCAGTAATTGAGAAAGGGACTTTTACTACTACTGGCCCATCATTCCCTACTGCTTCTCGGAGAGGGACTTGGAGGGGAGCTGGCCCTGCCCCCCCACTCCTTCCCTGCGTCCTTCCTGAAATTGGGCTAAATCCCTCTGCTTCCCCTTCCATAGGAGAAGCAGAAGGATTATTAGCCTCCAAAATTTGAACCTCTTCACCCCTTCCCCATCTCTGGTGGGTCGCAACCCTTAATTCAATATCATCCTCCTCGGATCCATGTTTTAAGCACCTTTCATCAATACTGCAGGTAGAACAGCACCTTTTCAAATCCTCATAGTAGTTTCCCTCCTTCAAAGCCATTACCATAGAATTTTGTGGATGTGTCCTGCACTGGTTCTGCCACTCCGGATGATTTCGCAGTGTAAAAAACAGATCCACATATGTCACCTCATCCCATTTACCTTGCCTTTCACAAAATGACATTAATTGCAAGATGGTATTATATGCCAGTGTCCCATTTTCTGGCCATTTCTCCCCACCCTCCAAAGTATACTTTGGCCACCGATGATTACAATATTCAATCAATTGTTTCTGAGTCAAAGGATCACCCCCCATATCTTTCCAGTGTTTTAAAATACATCCCAAAGGTGTTCTTTGTGGGATGGGCTTTTTACTCAGAAATGTACCCATTATAAATTACCAAAGTTGTTACCACTCCTATATATATATAGTGGGACTCAAACCCACAACCTTAGCAGGGGACTCTAACCCCTATCCTTGCCCGGGACCCTGACCCAGCCCTGTGAGGCTTTCACCTTGTCTGACAGGCAGGTGTTGCCTGTGGGGACCCTAACCCAGTAGAGGTACCTTTCAGCCCAACTCTGCGTAGCTTTTTGCCACGTCTTACAAGCAGACTGGTGGGACTCGAGCCCACGTTCCAAGAGGGGACTACAACCCCTCCGTTACCCCCTTAAAAGAATGCCTTATTACCTTTCCAGGGGACTTGCTCGGAATTCTTCGGTCCAGGGATCAGAGGTTCTCCCCGAGAAGCCCTTGGTGCCGGCTGGAGGTCCCGTGATCCCGCGGATCCGTTGAGATTCACAAGCGGAGTCCCATCTGGGGTGCCAAAACTGTCACCGAAATCGGGAATAAACCTCGTAACACCAATGTAGTGTTAAAAGGCCGGCATTCTTTATTCGCGGCGCCAGATGCACGGGGGATCGCTCCACCTAACGTGCATGCCTTACACCCTTTCCATATGATTTATATAGATCAAGTATATACCTATTTATTTTATTCATACATATTCAATATTACACTCTTTGGTGATCGGTACAAATTTGCTCGCTTCACATGTAAATTATTGCGCAGACTCAGTTGTCCTTTTCCATTGTTCTCTCTGAGTAGGTGGGTATCACTTGGGTAGATGGTCCGTGAGTCAGTGGTCGCGATCTCCCCCTGCCGGAATTACCTTTTACCTGTTCGGCTCTTAATCTTGGCAGTCCTGGCCATTTTTTTCAGTCCACTATGCAAAATCACACTCCATCATCCTCTTCTGACAGAAACACATTGTCTATTGTTTCGTTTGTATTAATGATTACCTAAAGATTAAAATACAGATCAAAGAAAACACTGATTTATATACTCAGTGTTCCCAGACTTCTTGTCCAGTTGGGTAGGGCTGTACAAGCAGTATAGCAGCATCCATGGTTGATTGATTCCATCACCCTGGTTACAGGAGGAGACTGTTACAGACTTTCCACAGCCTTTCTAATCACACAGAAATATTTAAAACAACTAAAATGCCTTTCCAGAAATCTTCTGTTGTTGTCATGTTATCGTTCTGTGTTTGTTCTTCACATGCTGCTGTTTTCCTGCCTAAGAAGATGATTAAATTCTTGTTTAAAAGTAGAAAAGGGAGAACTTAAAAATCTTCTTGTGGTTCTTATGCATAATATAAAAACATTTAAGGATCAAAATGCAGATTTTATACTTTTAGGAGGCCGCCTTGAAAAAAAAAAAAAAAACCCAAACCAAAAAACCAAAACCCAACCAAAACAAAACCCTGGAAACTTTTTTGATTAAAGAGAAAGAAGCAGATGTGCCTTCCCTTTCTCTGTCTGATTCTCTTAACAAACACTTCACTAAAGATTTTTTCTCTCTGGTCTTTGTCAGCTAATTATGCTTAAGTGTAAACCAGTTTATGCAACCGCCTAAAACGCCATGCCAAAAATCTGGGAATGTTCCATTTCATTTTAATATGACTTAGTTGAGACAACCAAATCTGTGCCATCGTATATTTGTACCGAGTTAAAACTATAGAGAGAAATGTTAATTTGACAGACTTGCAAAAATAAGTAATTCTGAATAATTTGATAAGTGTGTTATTAGTTTGGTAGTTTTAAGCAAATCTAGTGCAAAAGAAAAAAAAAAGGCAGTGAAGAACTTAGTCCTTCAGACAGATTTGACTAAGTGCCTGTTTTTCTGTTTAGTTTTACTTTTGTCTTGCACTTCCATAGTTAAAATTTAATGTTAGATATCTAGCTACAATCAAACCCCTTCCTTTGCTGTGAATTTTGAAACATTTTACAGAAGCAAGGAGTTGACATTCTAATAAATTATAAATTAAAAAATATTCCAATTTTTACTTTAACATCTTCATCTGCTTACTGAGTCTTGGTTTAATGTTACTTCAACAGCTAATTCTCAGTGTGTAACTGTCATAGTTTATACTGAAGTGGAAATAGATCCTTAACTAAGACAGTTCAGCAGAGATTTCTAGCAGATGTCTATGAAATGCCAGTTGTGTGCGTTTAAACAAAAAAAAAAGGCATTAAAAAATGTATAAGCCATTTTCCTTGTTAAAAAAAGTGTGCCAGTGGGCCCTTGAAAGTCATTGAGTGACTTGGATGGGCGTCCCATTAAGTTAATTTTTCACTTCATTTCTACAGTTTCAGGTTTTCATCATTCTTAAATTGCTCCTTTTCAAATTATCTGCACTTCAAAGGAAGTCAAAGAGCTTTGGTTAACAGCAATTTTGTCCCTCTCCTGCCTTACTGTGCTGCAAGGCTATGCTGGACTAATTTGCTTGCTTAGGGCAAAACCCCCTTGTTTTCAAATTAGGCTTAAATTCTCCTGTTTTGTTTTTTGATTTTTGCTGAAATGTTATTGCAGAAGGAAATGCGGTCTCAAGATCGGATGGTCGGACAGAGGAATAGTGTTCTAGCTTTTTGTCTCCTCGTGCCTTGCCCAGGAGAAAAGAACAGAAGTCAGTGATTTAATCTGCACCCATATTTTGGAAGCCACTTTTTGTCATTTGGTCTTCATGTTATCTTTGTAATTACATAGCATACTATTCGGCTTTAATAACACGCTGCTCTAGAATCACTGTAAGTGTGTGTGTTTCATTTAGAAGATTTTGCACAGCTGCTACAAACCAGGCGTGGTTTTTTGTGGTTCCGTGGGCTCCATCGGTACATAGGGAAGGGAAGCTGTTTGCAGGTCAAACGTTGGGACAGTGCAGAAAGAAACAGCTTCTCAGAAAGGGAGTTCTGGGTATATTTATAGAGTTTCAAACTTCCCTCAGGTAGCAATGGTGATTCAAGTAGTGTTGTTAAGACACATTGTCAGACAGATTCTTGTAAAGCAGACTTCTTGGCTTTTCAGTACTGGTTTTGGTATCAACTGATCCATAGGGAATGGATGGAGCTTTAGCAAAAATTATATACAGCTTGCTCGTCAGGCAAAGGCTCGCTAGGCCAGGACATGTGAAGTGTGTGTTGGGCTGCTGACAAATTTCTCTCTTCATGTGGCATTGTTTTCAGAAACTTGTGAAATGAGAGGGCTGTTCACAGCAATGAGGGCTGGTTGGTATTTGCAGTGCTTTGGGGGTTGACCAGTTATCTTCAAATTGAAAGCTCATCTGATATAATTTCATTGTGCGTGCAGTGTCATTTCTTCACTTGGAACTGTGTAAATTTGGCTTTTGCCAAATAGTGTGTGATCAGGGTAGGATGT